TGGCCAGTGGTGTATGCTGGGAGAGGACATAAATATTCAGGGCGGACCATGTGAAGCTCCTGCCTAGGGGGAGGCTACTTTGGATTGTCTGACCTGTCTAGGCTTGAAGCCTAGGAATCAAAGCCATGTGCTCACATTGAGGTCTGGGTCTGGGCCTAGTGACTAAAGCTGAGGATAAAGATGACAGAGAACAACTTCACCAGATGTGGGGAGCCTGAGAAGAGATCATCTGCTGCAACCTGAAAGTATGTTCCTAAATGGACTAGTAGTTTTTGATGCAAGTACTCTGTTCTACCAACAATTGGAATCTACTACATCCTGGGTGTCTTGTGCCTTGACCCTCTCTCCCTAAATTCTACAATAAAGTTCTTCAACATCGCATCTTCAGATTGGATTTCAGTTTTATTTGTTGCCACAGTGGGGCTGGTAAGTGCTATTGGGGCAGCAATATTGTTAAAAACCCCAGACAGGCTAGGAAAAATCTGTTTATTCCAGTGGCTCCTTTGGGGATGAGCACTACACTACCATAAGATGTGCATTTCTGTCTGTTCATTCCTGAGGTTTACAAAGCCCTACCAGAGAGAAAAATCAGACTAGTTCATTGCGCTGGGACAAGCCAGGGCAGGTGCCCCGGGCGCAGGGTTTTCATGGGAGAACGGGATGCCACTTGGCCATTACTCACTGCTACTCTCTGAACTACTAAAGTCATAGACGTTAGCAGTTCAGATAGAAGCAGTGAGTGAGTGATGATCACTTAGCACCCTCCTTCCCGCGAGCAGGGCACCTTGAAGAATAGCAATGGGGTGCCAGGTACTGGGACGGTGTTTTCGTCCCCACACCTGACACTAGAGTGATGTGACCTCTTCCCAAAGTCATCAGGGAGAGAGAGCGAGATGCGCGGGTGTGGGTGAGCAGGTAATCAAACACTGATGGGGTTTCAGCATTAACCATTAATGCTGGGAGGTTGTATGTTATTTATTTTTGCCACTGACCACCAATGTGACACACTAGTGTCTTTGAGTCGGAGGGGTTAACAACACTTTCACTGACCACCAATGCAAGGGTAGGTGGGGGCAATTAACACTGCCACTGACCATCATTGTGTGTGCAGGCGGGTTAACAACACCAATAAAGGATAAAAGGGGTAAATTAACACTGCATTGACCACCAATGTGTGTGTGTTTTGGGGGTGCTTTAAATAACACTGCCACTGACAATGTAGGAAAGGGGTTAAGGAGGGTTAAACAGCATTGCCACCAACTACCAATGTAGATGAGTTAAAATGGTGCTGCTAATGACCACCAATGTGGTTTTTTTAATTGCAATCACTGGCACCAATGCTGGGGGTTATTATTGCGGTCACTGGCATCAATACTGGGGGGTTATTATTAGGGATGCACCGATATATCGGCTGCCAAAACATATCGGCCGAAAATGGCACTTTTGGCAATGGCGCATCCCTGCTTTCTTTCCTCCCACCCTGGGCGCTGCTCTGTGTCCCACCGGGGAGGAGAGAAACAGTGATAGCCGGCCGAGTGCTGCAGGACGAGAGCGCTGTGAGCGGCCGGCGTCTCCTCCCACACTGCTCAGCCTCCTATCACAGTCCGGCAGAGCGGTGTGTGGGTGGAGACAGGCCGCGCTGTCATAGGACGCTGAGCTCTCCACCCCACACCGCTCGATCAGCCTACTGTGACAGCGGCTGAGCAAGGTACAAACACTCAGAGATCAGTGATCGCTGAGTGTTTGTAGATAATTGAGGACAGACTATGGTTACTATATCCTCAATTATGAATGAATGGGAAGTGATCTACATCACTACCTGTTCATTCATAGTTGTAGTTATAGTAAACACACATGTCCTCATGTTATCAATGAACAGGAACACTCAGAGAGGATTGCTGTTCATTGATAACAGGGGACAAAGAAAAAGAGATTGAGCACTCTGTGTCCTCAATCTCTTTTTCTATTTTAAAGTATTATTAGTGTGGTCACTATGGTGCATTTTGGCATCTTCGCCCTGGGCACTGGATGACCTTGTCCTGGCCCAGACCTTTTCCTGCTGAAGTTAAATAATACAACAAGATTTTCTCCCCACCCCCAATATGTGATTGGACAGTGAAGGATAAGCAGCAGACTTGTGAGCTCATCTCTCTGACACTCTGCTTTCTATTCTGATCAGCATGTAGCTTGTTAGCATATGAGCTCTGCAGCCCAACTGATTAGCTCTTTGTGTTGCTTCTATCCCTCTCAGTCTGAGCTCTGCTGTACAGGACATAGCAAAATGCTGACCCCCTGTGAAAACGAGGATCTTACACTAGTTACTTACTAAAATATATAGTCAATAATGAACACATGCCTCCATGATCTAGTGTTTTTAATATCTATCTAAAGTTCAGCTTTACATTTTTGGTTTACTTTTTTTCCACTGCCTATTGAGTCTAATGAGAGGCTGATTTGTTTAGCACAAGAACAGATCCAGGATAGTTCATTTGAAGCACACTGCTTCCTCTTAAAACCCCATAATTTCCCCATTTCGACAAAATGAAAACACCATTTTGCTCAGCCCTATTCATACGATAAATATGTGAGCTGCCATGGTTAACTTCCTTCTGATTTTTTTCCTGATTATCTCTGGCTTCAATAATTTCATTCACTGATTTGAAATAAAATGTGCAAGTGAAGTAAGAGCTCCTGACCTGCATATATGTTTAGGATCGGGGACTTTGAAAGTACTGTGAGAGGATCGACATGATCCCAGGCAGCTAGCCTTTTCCAGAAGAAGGTCAGCAATGACAGATCATGTATTGCTTTCCCAAGAGTTTAATTTTTTTGTTCCATAAGGGCAAGGTGTTTGTCATTGTATGTGTGTTCCATGGAAGACCTGGACTGGGATGCAACTGTCCCCCAGGCCAGTACTAAAAAGATATGTTGGGCTGGTGACTCTGTGTAAAGATACCTCACCATCAATTAGAATGGATCCTGCAAACAGTGACACATGCTGACCATTATATAGCTACCTGCTTTCAGCACCTCCTTCCTTTATGGCTCTGAGATGTCATGTGACTGAATGTCAAGAATCGCAAGATGCTGGAAGATGTGAAAAGATATGTGACAATAAACCATATCCTTCAGGATCATCCACCTTTCACCATGCCCAGCAATCAACATGGCACCAGAGGCGGATCCAGAGTCTAGTCTTGGTGAGGAGCACAGGCAGAACATAAGGTGTTGCTTACAGAACTGTCATAGATTATTCCAAGTGCTTCATATATATATATAGTTGTAATCAACTATACAGTATGTATGATGGACTTCTAATAATTGTAATCAACTATATGCATCATGGACTTGAAATATTTTTGCTGTAAAATCGAAAACTGTGTGTAAGTTAATTTGAGATGTGTCAACTTACTTTACGGAGTTGGCACTGGTTTTAATCTTTGTATGTATATATGTATAGTATATTCTTTTAATCTGTAAAAAAAAATTAAGTTTCTGCTTGCTATAATGTTCTGCTGTTACACATAGTACCTTAAAAGCACCATATCTTGCCACCTACTAGTCTTCCCTGGTGGCCCCTCATGGGTCCCTGGAGATCTCGCTCTCCCACTCACAGTCGCAAACTGTTCTCCCTGCTGCTGATTTTACATGACTTGTGTCCTTAGGCTTCCCCAGGATCCAAGGTTCTTTTCCCTGCTGGCAGGCTACAATATACCTGGACAGCAGCTCTCTCCCTACAGACTCAGGTCTTCCCAAGGTTGTCTCTGCCAGCCATTTCTTTTGGCTCTCCCCAGGCTCCTCTATTATGTTTCCTGGGCTCTCTGCCCTGCTCTCCATTCACCTCTGTCCTATTCTCCTTTGGTGCTAGTGCAACCGAATATGCCGCCCCTGCATGTCTGGAGGGTCCAACACATTCTAATGCCCTAGCACCGCAAGAGGGAGCTCAGGACAGCGAGTCGACTTGTGATTGTGATCTACCAGGGTAGGATCCTCATAATCTCCCACACAGCAGGATGGGCTGCCTGGCAGTGTCTGCAGAGTCAGTAGTGGCTCAACCAAGCTAAGTAGTCCCCATAGGTGACCAGTCTCCCCTACAGCAGCCTTCACTCTACAGGTGGCAGCGGCAATATCTTGGGGGGTGGGGGGGTCAATTGCCCAGTTGCCCCCCTGGATATGCCACTGCATGGCGCCATGGTGTACTTTGCATGGTAAACTTTGTTTGGCTCACGTTAATCTGTCCCTACCATAAAATAGCTAATTGGTTGTGTTTACCCCTAGACCAAAGGTTTAACGCTCTTACTGGGTGTGATTTGCATCTATCTGGCTTAACTAAGAGCACAGTTTTGTTTTAAAGGTTGGCAGTATACCAAACCAAGCTTTTTTGTTTTGGATAAAAAGGGGGGGGGGGGGGAAAAATATCTGTCAGATTTCACTGTCGTGTGTGCCCCTATTGATGATAATTTAGTTAACTTTCTTTTACAGTGACAGCCTATGAGGGGAAATCTCTTAAAGTGGAACTACAATTTCTGATCTCTTACAGGCTCTATTTGCAGTTGCCATGATGCTACACATGTAATCAGCTATGACACCAGCTGTTATAGAGCTTGAAAGTTCAGTTGTGAGGTGAAATAAGCAGACTGGCAACTTTGATAGTTCAAATGCCTCAACAGCTACTGTTTTGGGAGACAGTTACATTGGTGGGTAAAGTTCCTCTTTAAGATAGACACACATACCACTGAAATAGGCCCACTCTACTTAACAAGGTATTTTATTGCTTTGTGTGTCTCTTTTGGAGAGATTTCCCATCACTTCCTGTCCAACTAACAATAAGACAGGAAGTGAGAACAAAACTACTCTGCAGGAACACAGGCAGCAATAAAAAACCTGACAGGCATTCTAATCTTCTCCCATTCTATCGAAAAAATAAACGTATTGTCCAGGGTTGGACTTTGGGCAGATATAATAGTGATGACAATTGCTATGTGTGGTTTGCTCCTTACCATTCCTACGGGTAGCAGACCATGGTCGAGCTTGTGCTGCTGCTGGCTGTTGTGGTGGTGGCTGGGCTGCCTGTTGTGCCCGAATCCGATGTGCCACAGGGATGCGGGGGCTGCTGACATACTCCTCGTACTGTAGTGGTTCGATGTGTACAGAGCGCAGGCTCTGCTCCCGCAGCCTCTCCTCTCTACGTCTCTTCATGCGGCGTCTTAGGAAACTGCACAGGCAACACAGAAGTACTATGAGTCCCCAGATAAGCCAGAAACCAGCGAAACAACTAAGAAAAGTGTATGTGCCCTGAGACATAACCATCTTATTCTGCCATACAGAGGGGCATGAACCCCCAAACACGCACTGCAGATTTACAGACGGGGGCACCAGTGTCAGGTATTCTTTGTGCAAAGATGGCATATCATTCCCAGCTCTTTCTTTTCGTAATCTTATTATTCATTTACTCAGTTCTCTTCATCGTGTGCTTTGCTGTTGTGGTGATTACTGCATATAAATCATTTTGTTCAGCACTGCTTGGGGTGATTGCTCTGAAGTCCAAGCGATTACAAACAGTTCACATTCAGTAAGCATAACCTGAAGTATGTTTTATACTGAGCGCAGATAGTGGAAATCAGTTTATGTCAGGAAGCATAGTGTATGGTTTTGGAAGATTATCTTTGGATGATCTTATTAAATGTTTGAAGAAACCAGAGATATGGCTTCTAGGCAAGTCTAAGGAGGGCCTTCTTTAAATAACATTCTTTTATAAAATGTTTGATTTTTCTTGAAGTTGTTCTTCCTCTGTCGAGGACATCAGGTTTACTGTATCATCTGTAAACAAAAAAAAAAATACATATATATGTATACAATTTTGTAAACGAATAAACCTATATATTGTACAATAAAGTCATTAAAATGACACAATTACACAACAGGACCAGTAGATACTTCCAGAATGTAAAACTGGACTCCAGGAAAAACATTTTAAGTCGTGGATAGAGTGAACAAGATTTGCTTGTTGAAGATGCTGTCAATGTCTCCCTCTTTTCTACTTCTCTCTTCCTGTCCTCCTGTCACTGGAGCAGAACATTGGGGAAAATGTATCCATCATAGACATAAACATCAATACAAATACCTTTTTGTAGTCTAGCATAGTACTGGGATAGGAGGTGAGAATAAAATCTCCCCAATAATGACTCCAAAAGACAATAAAAACCAGTAAAGGATCTAACGCTTTTGTACTCTCAAACTTAAAAAGAGTTTTGGCTGTAGTTGGTTCAATATGTACCTGATGATTGTATACTTACCTATCTGTAATCTTCCTTTGCTGGTACGTCCAAAGCAGCACACAATGGGTTAAGGTCCGCCCTCTAACCCCGTACGACAGGCACTCTATAAACTTTTCCCATGAAGCCTAGAGGTTCATTCTTTGTCATTATCACGAGCCTCCATATATTACATTTGCAAGTAAGTTTAGTTTGGGGAGGGAGACAGTGTGCTGCCATGGATATACAAGGAAAGGAAGATTACGGATAGGTAAGTATACAATCTTCCGGTTTCCTGGGACACCACGGCAGCACACAATGGGAAATAATGATCACCAAAAACAATTAAGGGTGGGACAACATTTTTTATGTACAGCAACATAATCAGGATAGCAGGAAATCACGGCAAGATGCATGTGGATGAGAATCCAGCCCGAGACGCACAAGAATGGGCTCCCAAGCAATACCTTCTTTAAAGCTATGTCAGCCGGGACCTCATGACAGAGGAGGCTAAGACCCTGCGTGGACAGCCGCAGGAAATTGGCTAGGTAGGGTGACACAGAGATGCCAAAGGGTGCCATATCCAGGCGAGGACAGAAAAAAGAATGGACCTATAGCGTTCATGGGGAAAATGTATAGAGTGCCTGTCCTATGGGGTTAGAGGGCGGACCTTAACCCATTGAGTGCTGCCCTGGTGTCCCAGGATATATATATATATATAGATATATATATATCTATATAGATCTATATATATACTGTATATGCACACAAAATGTAAATCAACATGTTAGGTGCAAGGATGCCAAGAAACATACAATGCAATCTTTTACTTTACACTAGCTATGTAGGAAAGCAGATCCGTCTGAGAATTTTCACCTTTCTAAAGATTATGCATTAACCAACAACTGGTATAGACTGCCCGTGGCCTCTGTTGATAAGTGAACATCCAGCAGTGTTAATTGTAATTAGACCCATAATATTTAGTCCTGTAGTAGTGAACAACTCACTGGAAAAGACAAATATACTTGGAAAAGCTAAAGAGAAAAGAAGGCAACCAGCAATAAGATGGATGAATACAGTTACAGAAACTATGAACATGCCAATGCAAAGACTTAAGGCCCAAACAGAAGTCAGATCATTTTGGAGAAACGCTGTCCACTTGGTTGTCAGGCGTCCATGTTGACTCAATGGCACTTAATAATAAAGTTGAATACAAAGACATTGACAGGCCTGGAATTTGGGTTTAAAGTTTTGGTAATAGTGGTTTGCTTGAGGCTAAATTTCACAAGGCTAACAAACCTCCACTGGTTGACTGGTTGTTCTCTTATGAGTTACTTACTGTGTCTTCAAGTCAGCAACCCTTAATATTATTAACTTGTGTAGCCCTGTCATTAGCTAAGCGCTGATTATTAGGATTTTATGTCCGGCTCAGAAATTGTAATCCGCCCCATGGGTAAATTGAACTTTAGTCTGGATGCACAGCTGTGTGCATGGTAATGTGTGTTACAATCTGCATTTTAACCTGTGTTACTACAATGCATGTGGCACCTGAATGGCACCCTGTTAGAACTTCTTGCACAGCCTCACAGAGAAACACAAGCACACAGTCTGATATGCATGCTGCACATGGCTTGGAGACAAGAAGGCCACAGCTTTATTCTCTACCTTATTCAATACAACAGAGATATATATACCATAGACACTGTATAACAGAACTTATAAACACTGCCATCTAGTGACTGAAATTGTATACTGCAGGAGTTATTGCTATAGATACAATAATGTGTATTCTAACACACCCCATCGCACATAAACAGTAAACATAAATGCACACATCCTTTATTGCAGCACAACACACAGATGTGAATGCTCTGTGCATTGTGATGCACTATGTTGCCCAAAAGTGATGGTGATTTTTCCTGTATTAAGGCTTGTTAAAGTCCCATTCAATGTAAATAAACCGCCGTAACACAGCATTCACCACTGCTCAAAAATAAACATATAGGTGTTAATGTGGTCTTAAAAATTAAAGCTACTGCACCAATTTCAATCGATTTTTGGTGGGTAAAGTGAAAAGGACGCTACTGGACAGGTTGACATTTCAATACCTTTACTAGTGTATGGTATAATAAAACAATTTTGTTCCAATCTGATCGATAACAGTATGTAGGGAAAAGATCTATTGAATAGCCATTAGTTTAAAATATTTGCAATTAATGTGATAGTAATTTTGCCTCCCCCCGCC